CTTGCTTGCTGGAAGTGAAGAGTATTAGAAATACTGATGAATATCAAAACCTACATCTTTCAGTATGGATTGCACTTCAATGTAAAGAAAACAAAACTCACAACTGAACTAAAAGACGTCATGATAAATGGACAAAAGATAAAAGTTTGTCAATGACTTTATCTTGCTTGATCCACAATCAACACTCATGGAACAGCAGTCAAGAAATCAAATGGCTTACTGTACTCAGGGAATCTGCTACAAAAGATCTGTTTAAAGTGTCAAAGATGTTACCTTGAGGACTAAGGTATGTCTGACCCAAACCGTGATATTTTCAATAGTCTCATATGCATGTGAAAGCCATAGAAGAATCAATGCATTTGAATTATAGTGTTGGGTAAAAATATTTAAAGTACCATGGACTGCCAAAAGAACAGACAAGTCTGTCTTGGAAGAAGTACAGCCAGAATGCTCCTTAGAAGTGAGGACAGTGAAACTTCATCTCTCATAATTTGGACATGTTGTCAGAGGGAACCAATCCTGGGGAAGGGCATCATGTTTGGTAAAGTGGAGGGTCAGCAAGAAAGAGGAAGATCCTCAACAAAATGTCCCAACAGTGTCAGTCACGTGGGCTCAAACATAGCAAGGATTATGAGGCTGGTGAGGGACTAGGTAGGGTTTTGTTCTATTATGCATAGGGCTGCTATGAGTTGGAACCAACTCAATGGCACCTAGTAACAACAAACTAAGGAAGACAAGCAACAAAGATACTTTAATCAAATACCAGGTTACTTTGAACATGTAGTGCATATGGCAATGAGGCACAGAAATGTTCTTTTGAAGGGTTTTAGTAAGGATTCCTGGTGAGGTGCTGTAGGATCAGCACTGGACTGCAAAACACAAGGTTAGTAGTTCAAACCCACCAGCTGCTCATCGGAAACCCTATATAGGGTAACTATGAGTTGGAACCAACTCAATAGGCACTTAACAATTTAACAAGTATAATCTAAGTGGCCCAGTAATGTACAGGCTAATATATATCTTGAAACAAAACAAAAATATCTAATCCAAGGATTTGTTTCAATGTACCAAATCCTTCTCAACAGCTTTTCTGTAGTTCATTTAGTTTATTAGTAGTATTATCAGCCTAATAAAATTATATTTTTCTTGAATTTTATTTTGGTGTTGTTTATTTTACCAAATTAACTTTTTAACTGGCAAAACAGTCTGCATTTAAGAATAGTTAGTAAATAGATACCATGGTGCTGTAGGATAAGCATTGGTCTGCTAACTACAAGTGGTTCAAGCCTACAAGCAGCAACTTGGAAACTATATATACAGGACCGCTGTGAGTCGCAACTGACTCAACAGCACTTAACAACACCAACACCAGCATATATTACTATGCTCATGGATATCTTATGGCACAGTGGGTTAAGCACTGGACTTCTAACTACAAGGCCAATGATTCAAACTCACTAGCCATGACACCAGAGACAGATGAAGTTGTCTGCTCCTGTAAAGGTCTACAGTCAGAGAAACCTTATAGAGCAGTTCTCTATTTTATAGGGCCAATCAGTGCCAGAGTCAAGTCAGTGGGCATTGGTTTGCTTTACTATAGTCAGTAGCATAGCAAGGAGTGAAGAACACGAACACCTATGTGAGCTTGTTGTTGTTGTTACTAAATGCTGTCGAGTCAGTTCCTACCCATAGCAATCCTGTATAGGATTTCTGAGGAGCAGCTGGTGAGCTTGAGCTGTCAACCATGCAGTTTAAATGGCTTTTCAGTCTGGTACATTAACCCACAGCGTCACAGTGGCCAAATCTTGGCTCTGCCACTTGCCAGTGCCCTTGAGCAAGACCCTCCTTTCCTAAGTATCAGTTTCTCCTTTTGTAAAATGGGTTTAACAACAATATCTCCTTCATAGGGTTGTGATAAGAATTAGGTAATTAACATATATCAAGTTTTTGAGCCATGTTTAGCATAACAACAAAATGAGGACTTATTAAATAAAACACTTTTTATAAATAAAATAAAAATATAACTTATCAATAAAAATAACTTATTAAATATAGTATCCACAAATATTCTACCCGAAGGCAGGAATTTTATTGCATAGAGCATTGGGCTAAAAGTGCTAAAAAGTGTTTTGTGAGGCTACACAGTGAAATTTAAGGTGAGACTAGCCCAAGAGACAGCAGGGTGAAGAGGAAGGAAAAGTTCTTTTAGCCTGGAGAGCAGAAATGCCCCTGTGGGTGCTGGCAGGGCTCCCCTTCCCACTCAAGTCTAAAAATTTCAGAGATCAAGTTAGGAACTCTCCAAAATAGTATGTATTAGGGATTGTACTCTGCCTTTCAGCAATAAGCATTGTAAATTCTCAGCCCTGCAGATGGACTCCTGGTGTGGTGCTGCGGGTTAATGTGCTGGACTGCAAGGTCAGTTTGAACTGCAAGCTCAGCAGTTGGAGCTCACCAGGCACTCTTCAGAAATCCTGTACAGGGTCAGGGTCGAGTTAGAACAGACTCGATGGCACTTAACAACAACAGCAACATACTTTCAGATATAATCCCATTTGGGAATAAAGTTGTCTTAGTTTTACAATGCTGCTATAACAAAAATAAGACAAGTGGATGACTTTAACAACCAGAAATTGATTTTCTCACAGTTTAGGAGTACTGACTCTTGGGAAATGCTTTCTCTTTGTAGGCTTAGGGGAAAGGTCAGGGCCTTGTCTCATTTCAGAAACAGTAGGCCCAGTATTTTTTGGAGCGCTCCATACATCTTGGCATCAATGTTCCCCTGGATCTAGGAGCTTCACAGTGCAGGGATCCCAGGTACAAAAGGACACACTCCACTCCTGGCTCTTCTGTCTTGGTGGTAGTAGGTCACTTTTCTCTCTTTTTATGTCTCAAAAGAGATTGACTCAGCCTAGTGGTTACAAATCGGGCTGTGAACCGCAAGGTCAGCAGTTCGAAACTACCAGCTGTTCCACAGGAGAAAGATGAGGCTTTCTGCTTCCGTAAAGATTTACAGCCTCGGAAACACTGTACAGGGTTGCTATGAGTCGGAACCGACTCCACGGCACATAACAACAACAATCCTGTAGATTGCATCCTGCCTCGTTAGCATCATTGTTGTTGTTTATGTACCGGAAGTCGGTTCCAACTCATAATGACCCTGTACAGGGTTTCCAAGGAGTGGCTGGTAAGTTTGAACCACCGACCTCGCAGTTCAAACTGATCTTGAGCTCCAGTGCTTATCCTACAGTGCCATACTAGAATTCCCATTAGCATCACAGAAGTGATGATTTACAACACAGGATAATTGTATCAAATCAGAGCTTATTACATCAAATCATATATGGAGTTGATTGTATTGCATTAGATCTCATTATGGTGATACCTATATCTTAACTGCTAAACCACTAAGAATCCTGGCCCAGCCAAGTTGACACAAAACCTTAACTATCACAAGGGTTTTCTTTAATAGGTTAATGATTCCATATTAGTGGGGAGTGTGTCTTTAACCAACCATTTTTGAAATATAAAAGGAGCAGAGTAGGCACTGAGAAGCAAGCACAAACAAGGGCAAGATGCAACATGGAGATCTTCAAGGAAGGCCAAGAAGAATGCTAGAGAAGCTGAGATAAGGATTTTCCCCAGAGTAGACAGACAGGCTTCTCTAGCACTGGTGTCTTCAATTTGGGCTTCCGGCCTCCCAAGCTGTGAGAAAACAAATTTATATTCTTTAAAGGCACCCACTTGTGGCATTTTTGTTATAGCAGAACTAAGACATTTGGACAACATAGGATCACAAAATCTGTATGACATACCAGCTGTTTCTGTCCAATTTGACCATTTTTCTCAGGAGAACTTCCATCTGTGTTTCTCTCTTGAGTGGAATTGTTTTTTTCTGATTGTTCATTCATTTCTGATCAGTAAAAAGGTAACTGAAAACAAGAAAACACATTAATATCATATACCCCCAGTAACTTAAATCTTAGAACTGTTTCCTGCTCTCCACCCTCATCTCTCTCTTTCAAAGTCAGAATTCCTGAAAGAGCTGTCTGCATTCCTGGCTTCTGTTCCATACCACCTTCAGTCCTGCATCTGACTCCTCTAGAAGACTTAACAGACACTCTGCTGTGCCAATAGTTCCACCAGCAAATGGATGAGACCTTTAAAAGTTCTTAGCATCATAGGTTTCTCAAGAACATCAAAACTGGGACCACTCACTCCTGCTGAGAAGGACTCTGAATTTCTAGTCCTTTACTCTTCCCCCTTAGCACTTAGCCTTTTAGGGAAACAAAGACAGACAGATGCATGGATGTTATGCATCCCTAGTAACTTCATGAAAAGTCCATCTGCGTCCACAGTTTCAGTTGTCACCTAATGAATGATCATTCATTCTTAAATCTATCTATAAAAACTGTGATTTACTCACTCAATTTTTTGGACAAATTTCTAATACAATGTGTATAAATGGGACTTAACAGTTTGACAGTTTTTAAAAAGTTGTGAAATATTCTGCAATTTATTCCAAAAGTATTTCCGTATATGTTGTTGTTAAAGTGCCATAGAGTCAGTTCTGACTCATAACAACCCTCTGCACAACAGAATGAAACACTGGTCCTGTGCCATCCTCACAATTGTTGTTATGTTTGAGCCCATTGTTGCCGCCAGTGTTTCAGTCCATCTCATTTGGCCTTCCTCGTTTTCTAAACATAGCAGAGGCTGCAGACATCGGTGACATTTCCAAAGTAAGTGTCTTTGATACATACATGCTTCCCAAGCTGTACGTGAAACTGTAGGATAAGCTAACTGCTCCTTGGTCGCTGTGAGTCAGAACTGACCCAACTGCACTTAACATCAACAACAACATGTACAATATATTGAATGATGCAGAAAGCATCAAAAGAAGA